TCAATAACTGACATCAAAACTGTAGCCATAGTTTTCATCAGAACCTCCCTCCAAAGTACACAGTTATATTGACAACATGACTAAGCAATTTGACTGTCTTATCCGTACACAATGACACAAGGGCTTGTCATTCTGATGGCACTGACATGTTCATTGACATAAAAACTTAGCTTTGAGAGATAAACTAAAGATTTTCAGCAAGTTACAGGCTTTTGCAGGAAATCCATAGTGTTGTGCTGTTTGTACAAATTGTTTTGAGAAATGCACATACTTAATTGCAAATTTCAATTTTGATCTGAGAAGTGTACCAAAGTGACTGAGAAAAACTGTAATTATGAATGGTAAAGCTGCATTAGTTTGTGATTCCTTTTAGGTCTATATATATTTTTTGTTAAATGTTGACCAGCCATGTTTACCTTCATATTATATTTTTGCTACCAGTATATTAAACAAGACTGAATTTTTTTCTGTGCTGTAGGTGCATGGGCATGTTAGCATGCTAACAGTGACAATGCTAACAGGATCAAAAGCATGTATAATGGTTACCATATCTGCAAAGTTAGTTTAGTATGTTGGCATGCTAACATTTGCTATTTAGCTCTAAACAAAGGATTAGTTTTCCTTGTGTTTGGTCATAAATCTTGACCTGATGGTCCAACTAGGAAAATGTCAGGGGATTACCAATTTGTCCTATGGGTCAACTTTAGTAATTTACTCAGTTAGTTGTCAAGAAATGTCATTCAAAGCTGCAAATGTGACCCTCATGGTGGCGCTAGAGGAAAAGGCATGACTAAAGATATTATGATTCAATGTCTGGGGAACTATGTACAAAATGTTGTGCCAAATCAAACATTAGATATTAAGATATCTCATTGGATATGTGAAGCGTGTGAGTTGCCACTAGACGCACTAGAGGAAAAGTTAGAAAGTTAGTTTGAAAGTGATGGACCAACTGACCAATTTAAAGCAACCAAAACACACATTTTCAAAATGAAGAAAATTGGTTTGAGTAGAATTTAGTCAAAAAAGATGGTGTATGATTACTTCAGACACAACAAAATCCTTGAATTTTTTTTCCAATTTGTTTGTATGCTGTTTAGTACCTTGATGGTGTTTAATGACGGCTTGCCCTCTAGAAATAGCACAACTTTATTAGTGAGTCTTTTGATGAATACCAGCTAACAGGGATGATGTGGGGAGCTGCAGATGCTAAGATAAATAGTTCATTTCTGTCAGAGGTTTGACCTTGAGCAAAAACACAGCTGTGGTTCAGGCCTGCAGCCACCCACAGCTGCATTACCACAACAGCTGCCCTAACTCCTAACACCTAACCCACAGATCTTAGAAGCACCATGTCACGAACTTTTGAACGTCCTTGGTTATTATAAGACGTTAGGTTCAAATGATGCTTCAAGTTCAGAATGATTTCACCTGATCTTTGAACATCTTATTTAATTTTAATAGTTTGTTGCACTTAAATTTTGGCACAATACAAATAAAACCACTACTTACCAACCAACCTTATTTGTACCCATTTTTTCAACTTGTAGAATCAGACATAAAAACAGGCAAATAAATAAGAACAGATACAGACCAGCCTTGGAAATCTTCTTTTCCATTTCCATGATCATTATTGATTACATTCACCACTGAGTAGCTGGATGGAGACTTTAATGTCAATGCGTTTTTCTTTTTCGGCCGAGATAAAAGGCTATAACATGCAGAGCATGCTGTGTCTATGAGAAATGACATGATGTGAAGAGAGGAACAAAGAAGTGCCTTACATTACGGCATGAGCATTCAAGCTGCATAAATTATGTCCTCAGACAAAGCCACCTAAAAAACAACCTGTGTGAATTATACAAATTAATCAGAGACTAGAGAGCTTAGTGTGAAGGCTGCAGCAACAAAACTATATTCTTGTCTACAGAGACACATACATTTTAATGTTTTTTTTGACCAGTGTGCATTTGACTCATAGAAAGAGTAGATCAAACCTGCATGACCAGTGTGCATTTGACAGTCTCATAGAAAGAGTAGATCAAACCTGCACATCTTATCTAATTGATGGTTCAGTTTTACTTAGATGCAGCAGCTCATCTTCTGTTTAAGAGCTGGTAAACCTTAGGATTTCATTAATCTGGGTCTTAGAAAAGCTCAAATGATCAGTTGCTATATCCACTGATGTGTATATACATTATGACCTTCAAAAATAAGGAGGAGGAAGGGGTTGCTTTGTCCAAGGCGTCTCTGACGTCACGCTTGGCCTTTTGGCCTCTGTCATCTGTTAAGCTTGTTAATTCTTCCCAGGACACCTGTTGTTGTTTTGACCTGAGTCATCGGAGTCTAAAGATCCTGCACAAACCTGCCTTATTAACTGTTCATGTTAGTCCTGAGCCACTTCACCAGCTTGATAGATATCACTAACAGGAGACAAGGTGATATCTGCCATTTGTTTAATCAAAGACTCTTTGAACTGGTTGATCTTGAATGGCCCATATTAAAAGAATAGTTTCCTTTGCTCCCCAAAATTTTATTTATTGGCAAAGCAAATAATGTTTGACACATTTAATGGCACTTAAGTCTTCATTAGAAGGTGACAAGACAAGGTTAACAGTGACTTATGCATGTACTAAAAACCAAGATCGTATTTTAAAAAACAGCTTTTTCTGAACAGAGACACTAAATAATACAAACTTTCACCACACTTACAGCAGTTCAAAAGACATTTCTGAGAGTTTTGATAGGTCTAATCTGTGACAGTTTTCCACTCAATGCTTAGTTCACCACCACAACGCCATTACAAATCACAAATCAAAAGATTTTACAACATTCCAGCTATAAATATATTTTCAACATGAATCTTCACCTTAACAAGTTTTGTTCAAATGAAAAAGGCAAGGGAAAAAGCTTTATGATAGACTCACTAGTATCACTGGTATCAGTATTGCATGTCAATAACATAGCTTCCCAGTAAAGTGAGGTGTTCACTCATACATAAGATGGACAACTACATGAACAACAGCATTTCTATTAGAGGATTAAATCTATTGCACACATGACCCAAATACTGGCCAGTACCACATAGCACACACATTGCCAAATTGTATTATTCCCCATCAATGACCAAAAACGTCAAGCTCAGAGGTTTAATTGATGCTGACTCAAACCTACAGTAAATAACACGCTATGCAGGGCCATCTGCCAAACTGCTGGTCCAGTGTATTTGTAGCAGTAGAAGTACATGCATACACCTGTGCTAGAGGTTTGTGTAGGGTGTACTAAAGTTTTAAAGTACACTACTAGAAACAGCAGCCATAAGGCCATAGACAGCAGCACTTTGGTGTGTTCCCACATTTGATTCTACAGATCTGATTGTCAGAATGTCTACAGCTATCATGTATATGTGAGCAAATCCCAAATATCTCTCTGTGCAAAGTAGATGAAACACAGTGTTACGCATACTAATATAACAAAGTTTATAAACTGTTCAACAGTAAGGGCAGACAATGAGAAAAACGCTGAATGGATGGAAACACTACCTAATCAAATGTGAAGCAGACAGGCAGTTCTTAAGCATTGGGGAGCCGCTCCAGACACATCTCCAAGGGCCTTTTGAAAGCTCCCCTCCCAAAAACTTCAACATTGCTTGCTAGCCAAGAAATCACATTACCAGGGATGTAAGAACTGCAGTTGGCCATAGACTGGATCTCGACGGATTTCAGAATGCGGTCCCAAATGTTTACCTGACTCAGCTCGCCCACAAAAGCTTGTCCGGCATCAAAGCGCCCTCCCACCACGTCCTGCAAGGGCCATAAACAGCAGTAAATGTATAGCATGATATTTTTGAGGTGGGGGAGGTTGTCAGTGGGGCAATCCAAGGACTAGTCATTACATTTTCTGGTTTAATTTGTGTTATTGCCTTGTTCTAGTCCTGGTTGTATGTACAGGAGCTACCATTGAGGACACTGAGGTCATGTCTGTATGTTTAGTCTGATTTCATGGCAGTCCAATCATAGATTTAACATAACAAAAACACATTTTATCCTCTAATTGTTCAAGATAACATTTCAATTTTCCACACTTTTTTGGCAGCAATTTGGTTAGAAAATGTTCTCTGATAGCATGAGACAACTACTGATTTGATTTCCAATGGCTATTTCATTCTTCCACTTTAATATTGCTCACCATGCACTGATTGGTCCAGAGGGAAACCTCAGCGTCTGTGTACAGCATTATATTCACTGCTGGCTTGTTAATTGTCATGATAACCAGCCACTATCCTATTACTGCTGCCTCAGGTTTTGTTGATTTCATTTTTTCCATCTGCAGTTTGCAAAGGTACACCACAAATAACACCGCTTATTAACAGAACTACTTGACACTGGGCTTTGAAGTGTTTGACTTGTGATAATGTGAACATGTTGCACTAGGGAGCGAGTGGTACATTGTTAGTGTGCTTTATTGTCTGTTCTGTGAAAAAGACTGTGAAAACGATGTCACTGTATACAATGTCATTGGTAATATAAATCCAAGTAGGTGGCTGCTTTCTTGACTGAAGAGTAATGTTATCTAAAGATGTTTCAGTCTGATCACTAATTTTCTCAAACATTTTGGGGTCTAGTGTACTTCCCTACCTGCTCCTGCCCCAGGATAATGACTCCTCCGGGTCTGATGGGGTGCCAGGCCGCCAGGTTGTCACCAGTACCTAGCTTCTCCCCATTTTGATAAGCCTCCCATTGGCCATCCCGTGTGGTCCAGGAGATGCAGATGTGGTGCCACCTTCCATCACGCACCTCCAAGGGCAGCTGGGCAACCTACAGTCGCAATACACTGCACTTAGTTGTAGTTTTGTTTTGGAATTTTCATTTTGCAAATATTCATTCTAACAATCAATGCAGTTCAGCAATTAGCAAAGCAAACATGACTTACCTTGTCATTAATGAGCAGCTCTATTGGGTTATTGCCCCATTCAATTAGCACAATCTCATTTGCTTGGCCTGGCACGCCATATGAGAAAGGTGTCCCTATGCCAGGGCTAGCACTGGACTTGATCCACATACAGAGTGTGAAAGCATACAACTCTGGCAGGGTCTTAGTGATGCGACCGTACAGGTAGTTGGTCCGCTGGGGGAGGGACAGTTTAAACTGTTCTGGGGACTTGAAGTCTCCTCCCCCTATAATGAGAAATGGAAGGAGGAAGAGAGAGGAGAGACAGGGAGAAAGTGGTAGAGGTGTTCCTTGAGGTTATGTCTTTTCTTAAACTAGGAAACAGCCTCCTTTATGTTTGATGCAAAAACAATCGGGACTTAAAATAATGGCAACTTGGTAACTTCACCATCCCCTGCGTCCTCTCCATTAGCAACAGGATGGATGCTTCAGCAGCACTGTAACCATTCTTCATTCATGCTGTCCACTAATGTGCTGTATTCGCTATATGTCACGCACCCATAATTAGCTTTCCTCAGTTTACACCAAGTTACCTAATCATCCCCCCAAAACTTTCATCTTGACTTGTGCTTTCCTTTACCTTTCTCCAGCTCACTGATCCTCTCCACCAGGGCGTTCAGTGCGTTCTCTGTCTTCAGCCTGTAGGCAGCTGTAGCATTGGACAGCATGCTCTTCTCCTCCTCCAGGTTGCTGACTTTCTTCAGGAGCTGTTTCTCCAGCTCCCCGAGCCGGCGCTGCAGCAGGTCGCGGAGCTCACTGGGGAATGAGGCGCCGGATATGTTGGCCCTCATCTGCTGTTGCTGTTGAAAGATGGACAAGTCATCATGAGAAGGAAGTGCACTGAAATAATTAAGGGCAGTAACCCCCCAGAGAACTGCAAGTGGTGCCATAAATTCCAAAGCAACAAGATGTGAGACTAATTTCATAAATAAAAATATAGTTTTAGGTATTTTTCATCATTAGAGGTTGGAAACAAGTACATTCTCTGCATTGCTGGTCTTTAAGTCTGGCAATTATATTAATTGTGTGTGGCAATAAACTAGCCATATTTTCTCCCTTTATTTAATATTCAATGATAACATACATGTGTGTTTAACATACTTGGCCAGTAAAGCTGATTCTGATTTAGAACAGTAATAAATTGGATGAGAAAACAACCTGAGTGACTAACAGCTTGCTTATTGAGGCACTGCTTGAGCTTTTCAGCGCTCTGAGATTGATCGGCTGAGCATAACAAACACACATAACACACAATCGGCCCTGTATAACAGGAAGTTTGAAAATGGCCAATTGCATTTAATCTGTTCCCCAAGCATACAACAATACCTACAGTAATGATTTCTCAGAAGTGAATCTGAGCTGTGAATCTACAGTGTGTCGAAGACTAATCCCTTAAGTCCATACTAAGAATCAGTGAATAGTTGTACGCATGGCTTTGGCACAGGGGGTAGCCTATGCTTTGCGCAATTGGTGGTGCCTTACCTCCAGGTTTTCCAAACGGTCCTTGAGCCCTTGTATTGTTTTCCCAAGGCTGTCGATTGTATCATTAGGATCTCTGGGAACATCCCCCATTGTATTTTGTTTTTCTTTGCTCCAAGAACCCCCCTTTTCATACTCTGATGCGCAGAGGGACAGCTTGGTGGTTAGTTCGTTGATGGTGCCAAGCTGTTTGGAAATGGTTTCTTTCTGCTGCAAAATTGTCTCTCGTAACTGCATGAGGGTGTTTCTGAGTTCTTCTTCCTGACTTCCGGAGTTTAGCTCGGGTAACAATGTCACAGGGCAACTGTCATCGCCGCTGAGGGGTACTGCCCGGCAGATATACCGTTTCCCATCGTCCGCTTGGCCGCTACCTGGCTGACCGCAGCTCAGTACACAAATACATAACAGTCCGTACAAGAGGGAAAACATGCTGGCGACTTTTACCGTTAACGAAAGTCAAGGGAAGAGCGAAAGGCCAAACACGAAACCTTGAACACTCTCTAACGAAAACCACTTTTAAGTTTAGTGCGCAAAAGTGCAAATAGGTCTAGCCTCACAAAGCTTTACGTTTAACTATTTCCACTTAGCGTTATGCCTAAACAGCAAAATAAAAAAATAAAAAAAATCCCATCAAGCGTGAGTCGGTCACTGTAAGCCCCGTTAATATGGCTTGTGTTAACTATTCCTGGCACAGACTGCGCGCACAGTGTGGTGCTGATCGGACAGCTCCTCTCAGGAAAGAGGATTACCAAAAAAGATGCCCGTGAAAGCTCCTGGATTGGTTATAGTAGGCTGACGTCACCGACTAGCTGGGTCAAACATTTGTGGGTTTATTTATTTGGAAAGTTAAATAAGCAAAGAAGAAGGTAAGGAGGTCATTATCTCACAACAATTTAGCTAATAAGTGGCTACCACAAGGAATAGAAAGGTGTGATTACTGTTGTCACTTCTCGCTCCCATATTTATTCTCACTTTTTTATTCTAATGATATTTTTTGATCCATAATTAATTTATCCCTTCTGCTGATAACTGTGATCGACCTGGCTAGATGCTGGAGTATGCCGTTTCTAATTAATTAATTAACAATAAATACAGAACATAGAAAGAAATACATAACATAATCATTCGAAAAGACCAGAAAGCAAGTAATTATACTATTTTTTCTTGCATAAATACGATTTCAAAAGTCCTACCGAGGTATAGATGCTTCAAAGATGTTTAAGGCCAAAGGTATATGTTTTCCCTGTCGTGAAAAGAATGACGAATCATCCCAGATGCAGGTGAGTCCCTTCAGTACATCAAGCAGTGAAGAAACAGGATGTAGCAGCAAACAATTAGCAACAGCTGCCTGCCTGGCTGTGAAAGGTCAATAAAGCCTGGTGTGTAGACTGGAAGACATACCACTGTGCTTTGAACATGGCATCCAGCACGTTGCAAATTGCACAGTCAGTCAGGGATTTTAATGACACTCTGAGATGACAAAGAAGATGCAGTAGGGCTTTATTCATTGCCCAGTGTTCTGCTTTAAAACAGCAGTTTTCTAAAGGAACTCAGTTGTGGCAATTCTAAATGAATGCTTATGAAAGACATATCATTAAACACTGTTATCTGAATATACTTTTACTTTTTAAAATGATAATCCCACAGGCAGTTTCAGACATCATGCCAATGGATCACAGCAGCACTGTCTAATGACTCAGTCATGCCAGTTTTGCAATACTCATCAATTCATCAATGAGAATATCAAGACAGATGTTTTAGATGATAGCAGCAAAATATAACACAAGTAATTAAAAATGATCTGGCAGTAGTGAGTGACCATCAGCACCTTCAGTTTGCTGTACACCTGCTTCCCTGTTAAACATTACATTTTAAACTGACATCACACCATTTTTCTGGTTACCAGGCGACAATGATGAACACTACCTGCCACTCCAACATAAACTCCAGCTGATTAAAAACAGCAAAATGGAAAAATCAACTTTGATTAGACTAGAGACAATGTTGTTATGATGAAATTAAAATTTTAATTAACAACTATATGCACAAATCTGGACTGTCTGTCTTGTATACAACTGTTTGCCTGGTTTACAGAGAACATGTCCTCTTATTATGCTGACCTCAGGAGTCCATTTGGTAAACAGAGTGAATGTGCATAGGAGCATTAGATACATGAATAGATTTTCATAGTATTGTTGATGAGTCAGACGCAGACCCAAGGAAAGTGCACTTCTTTCTTTATGAGAAATAATGCAGGGGTGATCCAGCTACAGCATGTGGGTATCAGCAACTGCAGCAGTATGTTGAAAAAACACAAATCTAATGGACAGATGAGTGGTTTTGGAAAGCAGCAGAACCAGTGTGTCATCCACTCTCCCCTGTCAGAATAAAGACCTTGTCAGAAAAAAACCCCACACAAATAAAATGAACAAGACAGTGCAATAAGTCTGAGACAAACATCTTTTAACAGATCATTATTACTTAGGGAACAGAAAGTGCAAAGAGAATGAGAATGTCACATTACATGTCAAATTACCTGTTACATTATATGTGCCATTCAGTGAAAGGAATATCTCATTCTGCCAGCAGGTCGAGTCAGATGGAAGAGGAGAGAATTATGAATTAAAAGCCATTAGCAAAGTGTGTGGGCAGTTGACAGGCCTTGATGATAAATAGCAAGATAAATAATGATCATCTTTCAACCAGACTTCATAATTTTGGAAGCTATTAAAACAAGTATTGAAATATCTCATGTTTTGTTTCCATATCCATAAATACACATTCATTTGTGAACCACAGAAGCAGCCATGAGAGCCATAATATTGCAATAATATACACGCTGAATGACTGATCTGCCTGGAAAAAAATACAAGAAAGATGAGAATCAGATTCCCTCTCTCTCTTTCTCATATATATGTTTTTATAGATAGATAGATAGACAGACAGACAGACAGACAGATAGATAGATAGATAGATAGATAGATAGATAGATAGATAGATAGATAGATAGATAGATAGATAGACATTAAAAAAGGACTCTAACATTGACCATATGACCAGTGTTTGACCACCGGGGGGAAAAATACCTCTAAGCTGAGTTTATACTTGCTGCCTCCTCCGCTCCAGCCTCCCGGCTAACATCTACTAAACACTGTCCCAGTCTTATCAAAGGCTCAGTTATTTAAAAAAAACACAGCCCTGAAGATCAAGATCTCAGCTCATCTACATATGTTTGTTCTCCTCTAAAATTCACAAGTCCAACGGGGTGAAACAGGTCATGTTGGGCTCAGTTCAAGAGACAAAATACAGTCCCTTGTGTTCATAAAAGGTTGGTATTATGTTTGCACAGAGAATTTAAGAACTTGTTGTGTTTACCAGCACACGTTCAGTGGACTGCCATCTTGTGGTTAAAAAAAAACACAAACGCAACAGAGTGAAGACTGCTTAAAACAATAAATCAATGAATGATCTTAATTCCATTAAATAGTTGATGCAAGTCTAGTCTGATCTGGCAGCTACTCATGCATTAGTTGTAAGCCATTTAATATCAGGATATTTTGGGTTGCAAGGCTGACAAATGTTTATTCTAGCATGACCTTTGCATTAAGTTTTAAGAAGAAGAAGAGAAGAAGCTTTATTTTATTGTCATTTTAACATTGTGACACGTACAGCTTTTAATTCATTGGCAAGACCCCTCCACTAAACTAGGTGACCATCTAAAATGACGGCAGAGCATCTGGGCCAACATTTTTTTAATTTCCTCTGAACATTTACAACTACAGACATGATTGACTGTTGAAATTATGTATACCTGCAGACTTGGTAGGTTATCCAACTGCAGAATCTTTATTAATGAGAACATTCAACAGTACAGGGTATTTTTCACAACTTGACAAATAAAAACGTCTTATATTAATCATCTATACTGATTTATAATTTTAAAAAAATTGTATCAACTTTTAATAACCATTCATTAGAACTTACACTAATCGTTAACACTTTAAAAGTGACTTGTCAGACAGTGATACCAAAGCTAAAACTAGTCTATAACCTCAAGCAAGGCCTATTGCATTGCATGGTAAGGCTGGTAAACCAAAATCACCCATGTATCACATTTGCTGGTTACGTTTGTAATTTAACAGATTTGTTTAATCAACATATGTAACAATATGTTTTACGTGCACTATTATCCGTAAATAAGATACTGAACACAACAGCGGCTCTTCTCTCCCAGGCGGTTGGTTCTACTCATGGACGCTTAAAGACTGATCATGCGCAGGTACCCGCAAATCCACTTCGTTCACTAACAACCCCAAGAACCTGCAGACCATCGAAAACGATGGTCTTATCTCTACTGAATGTCACCGTGTATCGTTCCGCTGGTACTACAATCAAACGTTTGGACAAATAAAACTAGTAGAGCTTAGTTTTATCGCTGGCGTGCATATAAATATATTGATCCAACGTTATTACACAGTATTTATACATTCAAATGGAGATTATGATAACCAATACGCGGAGTGATATAACTCATCTCCTCTGGTGGTAGTCCCTGAGTTGCAGTAGCGCGAGCACGGCGGATACAGAATGATAGTTTCCTGTCTGTGGCGCAGGGTAAGTAAAGATTCTCTTTCAAATAAACTTTAGTGAAATATTTGGTGTTCCCCTGGTCCTTTGTATATGCGTAGCCTATGAACACATTTGTGTCCGAAAGAAGGTGCTTTTCCTTGTAGCCCGTATTTGTTTTCTGTTCAACAGTTTATGGGATGAGCTAACGCTTTCTTTCTTCGGGGTAAGCGAGCGTATTAGCTAGCGATTGCTTACGTGTTCTGCAAATTAATATTATATGTGACTGTTGTGGCTTATTGAGAAGATAAGTAAGCGTATTGTGGTTTTAGCAAAAGAATGAGCACCGTGTTTTGACGAAAATACGGCTTTTAATTCACAAATACTAGTGTACAAAAATTGTGCTCTCTGATGCTTCTTCTGATGTCATAATTGTGCGCCTGTAATAATCGTGTTTGAGATGCTGTTGCCGTTATGTTTGACAAACATAAATTTTTACGTAGCAACTCATATTTGGCTATATTTTCAGCAAATATAGCTTCTGTTTTCTAGTTTGGTTTTGGTGTCGGTCTTTAAAATCACCTACTTTCTCATTTCTGCTTACTCTTACTCATTTCTGCAGTGTACATGAGATCACACTGAGATCTGTGCAGACTGCTGTCTGTCCCCTTTACCCAGAGCAGCCTAGTCGGTCCCAGCTGCCACAATGGCCTTTGTGCCTGCGCCCAGCCCTACCGTGGTTGACCAGACCACACTTATGAAGAAATACCTGCAGTTTGTGGCAGCACTCACAGACACCAACACCCGTAAGTTCATAGGCCTCCATGTATATTGCTATACACAAGTTAATTAGATGTCAGATGTCTGAAAATGGGACAAAACAGACTAAAAACTATGTTGTCATAAATATATCTATCAGTATTTAATCACATTTGTGGTGTGAAGCACAAGTTTCATATTAAAAGTGTTAGTAATTGGATGCCCTTCCTTCTGAGTTTGGTGTCAGACCAAAAGTTTAATTCAGCAGTAATCCAAATGCTGTTTATGCTTTGCAAAATGTGTGTGCTTTAACTGCACTGAGATTTAGAGCTTTAGGTTTTCATTTTATCATATTATTTTTGCTTACTTTATTTGTATTCAAACTTTTGGTC